ATCTTACAGTAGCTGAAAAGCACTACAAGAGAAAAGTTCAAAGACCAAACAACATAATATACAGTAAACACACTTTGGAATATACCGTCAGTTACTTTACAGAAAAAAGAAATAATGAATGAATGAATACATAAATAAATCATTCATTCAGCATCCTCTGCCAATTTGCATTGCAGTATATCCTTATTTGTTATAGCAGTTTATATGTTATAGCCTCCCCTAGACAGCCGTCTCTCAGTTCTGCACAAATCAGTTCAACAGTAATGAGTTTGAGGGTGTATAACATGTGCTACAGTATTTACTGTATATAGAATAATGAAAGCTCTCTCATCTGAAGTACTGCTGCTATGTTCTGTAATTATATTGTATGTGTAAGTAGTACTGAAACCCTGTAGCTGAGCTGTAGCCTAACTTCCCTCATGATCAGTCCACGCAGAAGAACATGCTCAACTATAGTGCTGTGTATTTCATCATTTTTATTTTCCCCTCTTATTCCTCTTTGTTTCCCACAGGATTAATTTTCCAAAACTCATAATCAGCTGTGCTCTTGTTCATATCATCCTGAGATTCTGAGCTGTGTGTCATCAGTTTTGCTGCTTAATGTTCACACAGGGATAAATGTGCACTGTTTGAGTTAATTTTTTTATGCTTGAGTTAATTATATTGTGTTTGTGTTTTCTGAATGAGAACATGGTTAAACCTGTGCAAAATGATAGCGCTTTTGTGTAGAGTTTAGCTGAAAACACTGAGCAAATTGTAACGTGTGTGCAAACAGGTGAAATGTGTTCAAGGTGTTGAGAAACGTGTCTTTGTTTCAGGAACTGTATGAGTGGTTTGGAAAATTGGGCCAAATTAATCAGTTATAGTGTGTTAGAAAAACTGTAATAGTATAGTAGCAATGGTAATGAATTATTTATGAATGTCTGTGAAGACTGTTCATTAATTTTACACTCTTGATTTTGTGGTTTGATATTTTGCATGTAAACCATGATGTCCATCCACATACACACACACACACACAAACACAAAAAAACTTGCTTGGTAACAGTATCCTCTAAAAACAAAACTACGATGGCACACAGTGAGACCACTATTGAAAAACACATACCTCAACTGCACGACAGATCAAACGCTGTATCCATATTTTCAAAGATTTCACAGCCAGAGCATGTATTCACACTCCAACACACACACACTGACTGCTCTAGTTAAACATTACAGAGGAAGAGCGTTGTGTGGATGAGGGCCGTTTATCTCTGGCAGGAATGAAGGATCAGGGGTGAGAATATCTCAGAACATTCCAGAATCCTGTTGATTTCTGCCGTCTTACACTCCTGTACTGAGAACACATGGATCTTCTTAAAGCTCAATACAGCATGGTGCTTGCAACACCAAGGTCATGGGTTCAAATCCCAGGGAATGCATGAACTGATAAAATGTATAATTTGAATGCAGTGAAAGTATCTTTGTACTGAAGTGTTTGCCAAATGCATAAATCTGACAGACACAATACTGTCCATGAGTTTATATAAAGCTAATTATGAGCATGCACAAACCCAAATTTGGACTTTGAAACAAGGTTATTATCATTAACTAAAAGTCAAAAAATAAAATAAAATAAAATAAAAAGCAAATAGAGCAAACATGAACTGAAATTTTTTTTTTTTTAGAAAATTTCAGTTAGTTGCCTAGTCAAAATTCTAATTTTTGTTTACTTAAAATTGAAGAACTAAAATAACTAAAACTAAAATTGAATAAAAACTATATGGACATATAAAAAAAAAAATTATAAAACCCCCAAAAAATTAGTAAAACTTTAACTAAAATTTAAATTTAAACAGAAAATCAAAAAATCTAATTCACAATAACACTGATTTGAGACTTTATAAACCATTTTTGTAGCTGCAAACAGCAGATCGAGGCATTAGCATCAACTTATGGAAGCCGTTTCCGCCACTGGATAAGAAAAAAAGGTAATTGCAACTTTTTCCCTCAGAATTTCAGTTTATATCAAACAATTCTGGGGGGAAAAAATCTAACCTTTTAAAATTTTTTATTCATATGAATCCATATGAACTGATCACATGTTTACCTTGAATTCAATGCAAGTCGCTGTGGATAAAAGCAACTGCCAAATGTAAATGCATTTCTCCATTTCACTGCTGTCTTTCTGTGCCAACAGATGCCATCCTGCGAGACAGCGGACAGATCTTACATCATCTCATTAATAATGCAAACGATCCCGCTAATGGCTCCACGCGCACACATGCACACACACACACACACACACACACACACACACACACGTGCTGTATTATATTCCATCATTCAGTCATGTTCAGTGTGTTTGCTCAGGCCTGCTGAGCACCCGCCGGTTTGTCCTCGCTCTGAGAGGAAAGGGAGAGGTCAGAGGTCACAGAAAGCGGCAGACAGCGAGGAGCGATGTAAGCGGGATCCTCCTGTTCAGTGTGTTTGCTCAGGCCTGCTGAGCACCCGCCGGTTTGTCCTCGCTCTGAGAGGAAAGGGAGAGGTCAGAGGTCACAGGAAGCGGCAGACAGCGAGGAGCGATGTAAGCGGGATCCTCCAGTGCCAGTTTCCAGAGATCCGCGACACTGTTTCCACTGCAGCTTCCAACAGTCCAAACACTGATCCCACATCAGCCTGATCGCTAGTGATGATCACTTCACCCAAAACCATTCAAAAATCAATCATTTCACTCAAATAACACACAATACTGTACATGCATGGAAATTTGGCAGCAGGTGAGTTCCGGAAATCTGATAGTAGAAGCAAAACACTGCCAAACTCTTCCTGAGAGTCATTAGAGGAACACCAGATATAAAGATACCTGAAGATGCTGTGACACCTGCAGAAATGAGTATCTGTAGAGGTGAAGTTTCTCCATTCTTCAGATGGACAGATGAGGGTTTCTAGAAGGATCTATAATGTGTTGACCTGTTGATCACTCATCATTTATTCAGCCTTTGAGCAGAAGCAGCAGCAGCAGCCCTGAAACAGGAAGTGACTCTGATAGAAATCAATCCTCATGTGCTGAATAAATCATACGCAGGGCACATCATGAGCTCATGCTCCTGCAATCAAACAGACTCTGTGTTGATCATTTTCATTTCACATTTATTAGAGATGTCCATTCAAAGGAAGAAGTGCTAAAACGCAGAGCATCAATAATAACTGATAATAATTGAGCAGCAAATCAGCATATTAGAATGATTTCTGAAGATCATGTGACACTGAAGACTGGCGTAATGATGCTGAAAATACAGCTTTGATCACAGAAATACATTACAGTTTAACACATATTCACAGAGAAAACAGTTGTTTTAAATTGTAATAATATTTCACAATATTACTGTTTTTACTGCATTTTTAGTATAATAAATTATTAAATGATAGAATATATATATATGCATATTCTATTATTTATTAATATTATGCACATATGCTTATTTCAAATATACATAATTATGCATAAAATACATAAAATATGCATGATATACAAAATATAGCTTAATTTTACATCCTTGATTTCTTCAGGAAATGGGTGTGGGTGTTAAGAGTTTTTTTAACAAGTTACCATGCGGTTGCTAGAGTGTTCTGTGTGGTTGTTAGGGTGTTGTTTGGTTGCTAGGTTGTTCTGTGTGGTTGCTAGGGTGCTGTTTGGTTGATAGGTGGTTGCTAAGGTATTCTGTGTGGTTGCTAGGTTGTCTTTTGGTTGCTAGGCTGTTCTGTGTGGTTGCTATGGTATTCTGTGTGGTTGTTAGGATGTTGTTTGGTTGCTATGTGTGGTTGCTAGGGTGTTGTTTGGTTGATCGGTGTTTGCTAGGGTGTTCTGTGTGGTTGCTAGGATGTTGTTTAGTTGCTATGGCATTCTGTGTGGTTGCCAGGGTGTTGTTTGGTTGTTAGGTGGTTGCTAGCATGTTCTGTGTGGTTGCTAGGGTGTTTTGTTGCTAGGCAGTTGCTAGGGTGTTGTTTGGTTGCTAGGGTGTTCTGTGTGGTTGCTAGGATGTTGTTTGGCTGCTAGGTGGTTGCTAGGGTGTCCTGTGTGGTTGCTAGGGTGTTGTTTGGTTGCTAGCGTGTTCTGTGTGGATGCTAGGATGTTGTTTGGTTGACGGGTGGTTGCTAAGGTGTCCTGTGTGGTTGCTAGGGTGTTGTTTGGTTGCTAGGTGGTTGCTAGCGTGTTCTGTGTGGTTGCTAGGGTGCTGTTTGGTTGACAGGTGGTTGCTAGGGTGTCCTGTGTGGTTGCTTACAGTAATGGTGATGCTTGTCTTAGTGCACACTTCTCTTCTTCAGTTGGAAAGAGTCGTGTCGTGTTGTAAACTGTCATAAGGCTTTTGATTTGTTTAGATTTTTTTCAGCTGAGTGAAAATGAATGAGGAAGAACATCAGCTGGTTATCAGATGGACAGATGAACAGAAAGCTGCTGTGGCAGCCGCTCGATAACAGTTCATCTGTCAGCAGCATTAAACTGTAAATCAGAGTTTGACAGAAGCGGATCGATGCGACCACAGAAGAACGGAATCAGTGTGAATTTATCAGACATCAGGACCGAAGAGGAAGAGCTGCTGTTTGAAGAAGTTACATAACCAGCTTCAGAGGGTCATTCAGGTGCTTCATTAACGGGGGAATGTGGTTTCTTACAGATGGAATCAGATAAAGAAGAAGTTTTCATCTGTGTCATCTCTACATCATTCACACACTTCCATTTGTGTCATTTCACACTTTTCATCATTGCAGTATTATTGTGCATTATACATGCGGGAAAATGTAAATGTATTAGTGAGAGTACTTTATGTGATAAGTTGTAACAAAATCAAATAAGAATCGTATTTGGTGAGTGTTGCTTTTGTTTGACCAGAGGAAATATTTCATGTTAATTTTTGCATGCCCCTGTGTGCTGATTGGACGCGGGCGGCTGTAGCCCCGCCCCCGCGCGTCTGCGTTTCATGGCGGTCGGATCTCACACACACACACACACACACACACACACACACACGCGTGCCGTGATCTCCGCGAGTGTGTTCGTGATCTGAGGGATGATGGATGTGAAGGACTGTGGCGGAGTGATTCTGACTGCCTTTCATTCATTCAGGATCCACGCAGATGAGCAGAAACACGCAGCAGACAACAGGTCAGAGACTAACACACACACACACACACACACACACACACACTATATAACCAGCGTTGGCGTTAACGCATTACAAGTAACGCGAGTTATGTAATCAGATCACTTTTTCCCCAGGTAAGGAGTAAAGTAACGCATTACTTTTTAATTTACAAGGAAATATCTGAGTTACTTTTTCAAATAAGTAACACCAGTTACTTTATTTCCCGTGTATTGGCTGAAGCTGTCCTGTGCTCATGTTGAGAGAATCAGGAGTGAGTGCAGATGCGCTGTGTGAACATGCTACTGTAGATCTGGACTAAATGTCAGCATGCATTTACTCATCATCACACCTGCACAAAAACTGATTCAGTATTCCTCAAAAGCAGTAAAAACAGTCAAATGCAAACTCAGAATATGACACAAACCTGCAATAATTAAATGTGATAAATAACACAAATATCCTTTATGCATTTAATCTCATTTTATTATTCAGTGTCTTTGCTGCTGACCTTCGATGATCCAGTTCAACCATAATAAGCAAAAATGACTTTAGATAAACATAACATTTGTGTTTCCTTTTTTTATTGCTGAAAAGAGAAAAATGAGACCAGCCCAGATGTGAAAAAGGAATGCAAAAGTAACATACATTACTTTCCATGAAAAGTAACTAAGTAACACAATAAGTTACTTTTTTAGGGAGTAACAATATTGTAATGCATTACTTTTAAAAGTAACTTTCACCATTACTGACTATAACACACACACACACTCACACACACTCACATACACACACACACACACACACACACACACACACACACACACACACACACACACACTCTCTC